AGGCATAAATTGCAACGTTTTGTGGCATTGGAATATGATCTAGCCCTAGCAATAATTTTCCATGAAATCGAATAGTCTTCCCTCTTCTCCTTTAGTTTCCACAGGTACTTGCTCAGCTCTGTGTCATTTCGCCGTCTCTCGTGGTTGAACGACATTTGGTGGTTGCGCCATCTAGTCTTAAAATCTGTCGCTGTGAGGCCAACGTACGTTTTAGTTTCTTCCTTGGTATCGACTGTGGCTTGGTAGACGACCTCGCTTTGCAAACATTCCCCTCCTAAAGGGCATTCGTTTTCGTTCCTGCAGTTGCACAATCTTTGGGGGCGGCTATCTTCGGACATTTTTGCGTTCCTGATTGTGGCTTTGTTATGCCCGTCTATGATCTGTTTCATATTTGGTGTGCATGAGTAGCTCAGTTTAATGGTGTTTCTATTGAAAATTTTCCTCAGTTTGTGGGTGACTGGAAAGCACTTGTCAATAAGGTTAATGAACGCTCTGCCAATGTTGGTCTGTACGTTTCTGTTAAATGGTGGGTTAAACCAAATTATGTTTCTTCGCCTTTTGGTTTGGTATTGCGGTCGGTGCAGTTCCGGTTCAGTGAAGTGCAGCTTGTATGTGTAGCCACTCTTGTGTAACACGTCTTGGTAGGGAGGTGCCGCTTTGTTGAACATGTCTTTGTCAGAAAAGATTTCAGAAAGATTGTGGATAAAAAAACATTGTACAACATTGGCAGAACTTGCCAATGCCACAAAACGTTGCAATTCATGCCTCACTGAGAAATTTGTTATCTTGTCTTGTCCACATGAAGCCTCTTTAAACAAGCGAAGTGAAATAATATCCAATTGTAGACATCGGCAAAAATATATTCTCAAGTATTCTTAACGCTATTATCGGTGCGTACGGTTTTCAAGATTTGAATTTTGTAAACAATGTCATGTGATCACATTGCTGAGTTAGAGTTAACTGTCACGATGCCTCAGTGTGTATGGAGTTTGACTGACGAGTGGATCAACTTTTGTTGGTCTACGAAACAGGCTGTATTAAAAATCCATACGTGCATAACTTGCGTAGTCCATTTGCTAATATATATATATATATATATATATATATATACATACATGTTTATTTGTTATTCTTTGTTTTCTTTTTGTCCTGACAATGGACCAATTCAAACTAGGCCTGGGAGACAGTGATAGATGAGAGCCACTACAGAAGAAAAGCTTTCACTCGATTTTTCTCATGTATCTTTGTAACTCCTCAACAGTTGTTTTTACAGAAAGAAATGTCATTAAGTTTAGTACACAGCTATGGTAGTTGTGAAAATAAAAGCCTAAAATAATTAGATTTTAAATACATTCAGGCTTGGAAAATCCGAAATTAACGTACGTTGTACACCTGACATGACGAAATAATTACAGTATAACACACCTCAAATCAACTTCTTTGATACCACTGTAGAGCCCTCCAACAAATAAACGATTCGTTTCCATAATTTTCCCAGTGACACGCTGTGTGATTACAGTGTTAACCTACATGAAGTTAATCAAAGGATAACTAAGTATTTACCATGAAAAAAAATGAACAGTTATTTACAATCATGCGATCATAATCAGTCCACGAGGTACTGTGTGCGAGGGACAACATTACCACGATTTGCCACAAGGACTAAAGATAATATCGATCATTGCTAATACAAGAGACATTAAGGGCTCTTGGATGAATTTAAAACCCATTCTACCTGGTGGAAGTTCCGAGCTTCAAAGAAGGCAACATCACTACAGAAATGAAGTAGTTAGTACACGTTTATCCGCCATGTTTTTTGTTATATCGCGTGAAAGCTGGTAACCAGTGTTCAGTGCTCTCTCTGCTGAGTTTCTTAGAGCTGGGGCTTGGGCTGGAAGAGGGAAACAGTGCTGTAGTAGCGTTGCAGTTAAATCTAGGTCTTCCTGTGCAGTTATGTCCTCACACCTAATGACCAGTAAAATGCAGTTTTATTTCTTGCAACCAAATTGTGCTGCGATCGTGTCCTCTGCGTGTTACCAACCAGGGGAGGGAAGTGATGCTAAGGAGTAGGAAGATCGTGTAGTTTTAGATTGCTCTAAGTTTGAGGATTTTATGGGCTATCCTTGTTTTATGGGCTTTCCTCTGTATCCTTGTGGAACGCTTCAGATTGGTGGAGGAGTAAAAGTCTGGCAACGTTCCTCGTTTTTTTATTGAAAAGTATATGCGAAATTTTCTTCGAACCCCCCCCCCCCTCCCCCCCACTTCTATAAGCTATAGAGCTTAGGAAGCCCAAAATTAGACACTGCCTCGTGGCTTTCCTTATGGTTTACATTAAGCGTTTTGGGGAGCACCAGTAGTGCTTTTCTTTTGAAGCTAATATAATAAGGTTAGGTGTTTTTTAAACCACAATTGACAGTTATGTCGCAATCTGATTGGCCAATTTGCCATTCTCGATAAAAGTACAGACAACGCTGCTCTCACCAACGTGTCACGCAAAGTGTCACGCTAGTGAAAGAATCGTTTTATTTGACCGCGTCGATATTGTGATAAAATTGGCCATGGTGTATTAAGCTTATGAATGAACGATCAAAGGAAAACATAAGAGATAACAACTGTCTCGCAAAACGAGCGATATCAAAAATTGAAACGTTCATAAAAATCTGTAAGAGGAAACAAAAGTTGGGAAAAGGGAAATTCGATACTCCTTGATCACAAAGCTTATTCAAATCTTTATTTCGACCCACTATTTACAAACGCTATTAAGTTAAATAAAGAAACAAATCAAATAAATGAGGAGGCATACACGGTTAATATGTATATCAACAATTCTTTCTTGAGCTTTACCAAAAAGAGGTTCACGCTTCTGAAAACACTGTTACTTACCAGTCCTAGTGCTATTGTTTGTAACACGTGCGACACAAATTGGCTGACAGCCTGAAAGCATACAACTCATTTACACGTGCGCAAAATTTTGACCGCTTTGTTGTGTTGATGAAGGTTGGGGAGTTACTGCAGAGTTCATACTTACCTAGAAATGGTAGCGATATTAAGTCTTCAACCAATGCAAACCTAGATTATATTCGACTTACAACTGAAAGTTTCTCTAATTGACATAATGGCCTTGGAATTCCACGTTGAAATATTTCAATTAAGATACAAATGTAGCACTCCTGTGAGATTTGGCTGTGTTGAAAATTAGGGCTGAAATAGAGGACGTGTGTGTGTTTTGTTTGCTTGTTTTAGGACGAGAAAGATATATACAAGAATAACAATAGCAATCGTCATTGACACCTTAGTGTTTATACCCTAACATCAGTATGGACATTCTCCGTAGCGTTCTCTTACATTTCCCACTGGTTAGGAGAATTTCTTTAAAACAATCAATAACTTTATAAGTTTACAATTATTTCTTTTAATCTCTTAACAACTGTGCTTGATTCAATGGTGATTCAGTGAAGCGAGAAGAAAAGTGGATGCTAGTTACTCTTGGCGATTTAGAAGTTCAAACAAAAACCGAAGGTGACGTTTGTTAAACAGCATATATGTGTTATTCTATCATCTTCGAAGTGCTCTCTCGAACTTTATGAACAAAATAGCTATTAACATTGATTCATAATTACTGAAGCTAACGATTTCTTTGGTTTATTCTTCTCCGGCATATCTATCCATTTTTATCACACACTTTGCAAGGAATTTGTAAGGAAGGCTCCGTCAAATTCCAGAGAACGGTGGAAGAAGTGTCAGTCCAAATTCATCACACCAGCAGGGTACCAGTTGTTCTGGAAAATAGTGTGATAGCCATTCGCATATCTGGGTTTATCACAAATATGTGTGTATCGCAAAAGTCAGTCCCAATTCTATTGGTTTTGAGTCAAGGAACGTCGAGCGCGAGCAAAATATAACTTTTGATCAAAGTTTAAGCGACTGCTCCCTGAAAGAGCAGTTGAGACGTAAAGTAAGAGATCGTCATCTGAACTGAGATTGTTTTTATGTGGAATTCGCAAGAAGTGTATCCCTGTACTCTAAGTTGACAATACATGGTGTACAGGCCACAATATGACAGAGATGGTGCGCGATAGGTGAATTATAGGCGTGAATACCTGCACGAACGTCTACAAATGCTAAATCAGGCAAACATAAAGTTTGCGTTTCTACGTGCTTGAAATATTTGTCAGAATATCTGAGTGCCGGCTTTATTGAACAGGTGCTACTCGTGTGCAACCAGAAATGAACGTGCCTATTGACTCCATTGACTCTCTATTGCTGAAGTCTGTTTAGCTAGTTACTTATCAGTAACCTTGCTTAAATATTCATTTTGAAATACCTTATGAACTCTTGGTAATGGCGTCATGATAGTCAACAGTGACACCGAATCGTCGAACGAGACAAGATAGTTTTAATTTCAACTTAGATTTTTCATTTTGTCTCATCATTTATTTGTTCGTGCATCCAGTCATGAATTAAATATTTAAGTCAGTGTAATCATCCTTTCAAAAGCTAAATCTTTACCATGTTGGCAACGGGAGTTAATTATCAGAATATAAATGGTCTTGAAATTCTAGGGCAAGGTAAACTACTAAGTAATAATCAATGAAAAATGCAAAACCGACAAAAGAAAAACAAACTAGCACACACACATACACAAACCTCTTATTTTTAAAGACTGTTATTTATGTACTTCACATTTAGTTCATCTTGACTGACATGTCATTATAATTTTCTTTCAATTATTTTCTTATGATCCACTTGCGCCACTGATCTTTCTTTCAAGTGTAAAATCAACAGAGGAAATTATCCTGCTGTTTCAGTAGTAGTTCTTAAGCCGATAATTGCATGTTGTTCTGTGAAAAGTGCTTAGAGAAGATCACGTTTAGGAAACTTCGAAAACAAATAACAGTACAGTCGCAGCAGGCTTTCCAACGATCGAGAAAACTCTCTCGTGTTATTTATCTTCTGGTGCGAAGTTTTCTACCAGAAATAAAACATGCTTAGTATGTGTACTTCATCGACTCACAGCTCTCTATCAAATTATCTCAAAAAGGCTGATTTCTGAATAACTAGATTAAGTGCCCTCGCATATGTGAATAACTTGGTATCCATATTTAATCAATTTATTTAGTTTAGTGACTTTTCCTTATTTTAAAATTGCGTGGAATACTTCTGTTTATCTCCGTTCCAGCATCAGCAAATTAAAATTATCTCTATTTCCATCTCTCAGGACCCGATCGCTGAGTTTGTTAAAAACCTCTTGGCGCTCATATCCTATAATTCGTCTAATTCGCAATTAATGAATACTCTTTCGAAGTGTAAAATAACTTGGTTTTCAATAAACTTTAAAGAGGAGAGGGTTCGTAGGAGAGAATGAATGTAACACCAAAGCAATGGAAACAGAAAATTTTGTACAAAACAGGAGTCGCCAAACAAACTGAGTCTTTTTGTTTGTAAGGTAGTTTATTTTTGGCATTTATTGGAGAGGATCTGGTTCAGCTGCTGCTTTGATTTATCCCATAATGGAGCCTTGTAAATGGTGCACTAGTTGTGACGCAGAACATTGTTCAAGCAGTCAAATATATCATTTATGAAAGCTTTAACTTGATTTCATTAGGAAGTATAACCAATACTTAAGTCCCATGTGATGAAATAAAATTTGAATGGTCAGCTTCATATGTATGTCACAGACAAAAATTAATATCTTATCCCTTGCGGAAGCCGTGAGACTTTTGAGATTAAATTCCTCATAATAGGTTCACACGGGTCTACAATCTCGAGCACAGAATTCCTGAAAGTCCTAATGAAAAACCGAATATATTAGCTGATAAAAGAGAAATGATTCAAAGTACCTTGTTTTGTTTAAAAGAGATATGAACGACATGAAGATTTTTTTTAGCCTACTAGATTATTTTGTTGGTTAGATGTACGTGTAAAAGTCCAGGAGAGCAAATTTAATGTTCTAAACTGAGTTTTCCCCCGACAATTTAGGTTATAAAACAGTTGTGGTGAAATCAAAGTGTTAGCCAGAGTGCAGGAGAAAAATCATGATAGAAACCTGAACTGTGATGGCCATTTTTTAAAAAAATAAAAATTCATCATATCACAGTTTCATGTTAAAAGCACTAACCATAAGTGTATTTATATTAGCGACCTCTAGAATAGTTTAGACACCGGTCTTTTGTGGATAAACTCTTAGGCAATAATCGTCAATGCATGAAAATCAGTTCCTTTTAAAAAAAAATGACTCATCTATCTCCCATTCGCAGACTCCATTAGTGTTCAGTCCAGTGTGATGAAAGACCTGAAAAGAAATCTCAACTGAATCAGACTTAGTCCTTAATGGCCTCTTCAGTAATATACTGATAAGTCAATTCTGAAGGTGATATTGAGTGTGCAGATAAAATCTATAAAGATTCAAGACAATTTCGTGCAGGACTTGTTGGCACTAATTTCTTTGCGAGGTTTTGTTATAAAAAAAACCCATCAAACAGGCTTAGCAAGAGTTAACAAAATTTATTACGGTGTTTCCCTCTAAAGAAGTCCAATTTATCTTTAAAAATTTTGCATGTGAAATGTTGATATTAAATGAAAATTAATGCCACAACGGGGCCAACTTCGAGGAACATGAGAAAAAAGTAAAAATGACAGAGAAAGTTAAAGCTGTGTTGAATTGTACAACTTCATTGCTTCTTGCCTAAATGGCCATGAGAACATTAGCCGTCGCTTACTCGATGCTGTCTGAATTCAAAAATGCGTTTCAGGGCTCTTCGGTAGATCGGCAGCCTTAAGCAATAGATAAGAGGGTCGAGAGTTATTTTGAGGAAAAATATAATGATTGTAATCGACCATGCTGTTCGTAGACACTTATCCGTGGTAAGTAGTCTCTGCCCGTACATTGAGATGTGCCATGCAATCATTATCGGCACACCAAGAGCCGTAACCGTGGTGAGCAATAATAGATTGGCTCTCGTAAAGTTTCTGTCTCGCACGCGGACACAGCTTGCGTTGGAGCTAATGCAATCCATGGCACGTTTCACCTGGCGCAGATAATCTCTCCCGAGTGCGGCATAAACTGTACAGAGAAGAAAATTGCTAAGTTGAAAAGCAATGTGAAGCTGTAGTTTATCTACCACTGAGGCAGAGACTCCCATTACCAGCAGAGAAGGAATAATCAAGGAAGCGCACGTAATAATTGCAAGGGAAATTCCTGTTGTCTTTATCGTGACGAGGCCTTGCTGTTTATGAGGCATCTTTACGCCAACGTATTGACACAACGACAAACCCAGCATCGACAGATAAGACACGCTTGTGGTCCAATAAAATAAAAACAAGCCAGCGTTAGACAATATTTCTTTACCTGAGAGATCTAAAGCTCCATATCTGGAGCTGATCTCAATGATCAAAAGCGGACCAGCACTCAAACCACTAAAGAGGTTAGCGAACACCATTCCAAAAACGAATATGGTGGCCGCTGTACGGAATCTCTTGAAAGGATCTTTCCACAACACAGTCAGCATGAAAGTGTGACCAAAAACGATTAATACTGAAAGAAAAGAAAGTGACACTGCCACGGAAAAGTATTCCACATCTTCTTCACCCATAGCTAGAGAAGATACAGTTTTCTCTTTTAATTACAAAGAGAAACAAAAATCCCAGCACTCGTTTTCAGCCGACAATATTCAGTGTAAATGGTCACCGCTGCCTATAAAAACAATATTGCTTCTTTTGAGTGAAACCATTTTAAAGATTGCGGTTGTGATCGCACTTCACTTGAAATGTACATCTTAAAGTGACGTTGCTTAGCAGCAAAGAAAAGAATGCATACGAAATAATGAAAATTTTTAATTTGAAAAATTTTGACATAAGACAGGTGTTAAATCACCAATGAAGAAAGAGCTTCGAGATTTACATGTACTTAGGCAAAACAAAACTCGAGTTATTTTTCCGAAATACTGCATGGCTCAGTCCTTAGCAAAAATAAAAAGTGGGTGGTTTACCTGCCGAAAAAACATTTACAAAAAAGCATTTCACAATAATAAGGGATCACAACAGCTCAGATATTATATTTTTCTCACTAAAAATGGTGGAAACTGCTTTGCTATTAGGACTTTAAGTAATTTAGTTCAGCCTAATGTCGAAGAATTAAATTAATCATAAGTCTTTCGCTCTTTTGGAGTATTAGAGGTTTTTCGCGTCATGATTTCCTTGCATTTTTCAAGGCTAAACGTTTTGAATGCGATTTACTTCGATTCTCGAATGTTTTTAAATCTGTTCATTCAAGAAATTTTTGAGGTCTGGTTACTTCTGAAAATATAGAGAATATGTTTTGCTTTTTCGATACTGCGTTGTTCTTAGACAAATGAAATGTTCAATATGGCTTGTAATTTGATATCTCTAACATTACTCGTGATTGGATAGCATCTACTACTATGTAATTTGTTTTTTCCTTTATTTTTTGTAGGTAAAAAAAAAAAACTATCAATCGTTCTGGGAAAACGCTTACATGGATATCTCATCTTAGAAAGTCAGAACTGCGTACTTTTTGCTTTTATCATTCCTTTGCCGGACCCTTTAGAACAATTTTCATTTTTTAATTTTCAATTTTCAATTTTCAATTTTCAATACCCGTTTTCTGTGCATTTTCTTTGAAACTGGCCAGGAGATTTCTTTTAACAATCAGACTTTCTTGGGTTGGTGATCATTTCCTTTATTTTCATGATCTTAATGGATGATTCCGTAGTATTAATTTACGTAGTATTTGATTACTGTAAGGAGAAATCAGATGTTGGTCACCCTTAAGTTTTAAAGGGTTAACTCTTCTGTAGTTGTTCAGGAACTTTGCTACCTGTGCAGCCTTCGCATGAACTTACTTTCAAATGGAAATGTCAGGGTTGATCAGTGTCGGTAGTCTTTCCCCTATAGCTAGCCTTTTTCTTTGAACATGTAGTCCACTGCAAGACACGTTCGTCATAAGTTGTATTGCACACCTGTATCATCCTTAGTGAGTTCAAATATCTACTGCAGGTCGAAGAAAACTTTTACATCACTGTGCTGCTTTCTAACGTTGAACAACTATTTTTTTTTTTTCTGCGCTGTAACTAAAACCTCAATCGAACCCATCATCAAATGGTGTATGGTGGCTATCACAATCCGAGGCAAAGAAAAGCTCCTATTACAGAAATCGTCGGTTTACTAGCACCAGCTGTTGTACTTTACAAACTCTCACCAATCCTAATGAACCAAAAATCATGACTCGTTCGTGTCTACAAACTTTACAAATAAGTTGCAAACATATCTATCAAATTCTTTTGATTTTTAATGTTGTATGACTTTTTCCTTCAATTCCTAAAGGTGTAGTTAAGGCATGCCTCCCAGTTAGCTCAGTGGATAGAGCGCTGGACTGTTGTGCGGGAGGTCGAGGGTTCGAGCCCCGGCCGGACCAACACTCAAGGTCTCAAAGCAAGTGAGAAGAATATGCTACCTTTCTATATCAAGAAATGGTTAGATACTTTAGTCTACTCGGACAGGGACGAATAAATGGAGGTCCCGTCTCCTGCAGGGTTACGGGTAGGAGACGTTAATTTCCCACGCACGAGACTACTGTGCGATGGATGTCCTCCCCTGGGGTGGTTACTGGGTGGGAATTTGCCCTGAATAACCCCCATGGGGAGTGGTCAATTAACTTATGTATGTATGTAGGTATGTATGATTCCCCACAGTGACTATTCAGATGAATATCACTATATAGGGATACTTTTAGTTTGGTTAAAGGTGTTTAAATCAAGCAGTTGAAAAACGTTCGCTCCATAGCTAAGAAAATATCAAAGAATCTTTATGTTGGTGCAAATTTTGAAAAAACTTTCATGTAGTATGATTTACTCTCCGCATGAATTGATAACCTTTATTTCAATAAAGTAGTAAATACGAAAGTAAAAAAGAATCCTGGTTTCAAGTTACATTGTCATATTGCAGTCTTTTTTTGCACCAAGTAATTCCAATCAATTTAGAGCGCGATAGTAGCCTGCATTATACATTAAATAAATACGACTAATTCGTCACTTCATAGTAAACCTCTACCTCATCTGGGCAGAAACTATTGTGTCCTGTCCACATATTATTTTTGGAGAATTTACCGGTATACGAGTAACTATGAAAGTAGGAATTATATTTACTATTTGCATTATCTGCAACGTAAATATCATGTCCCGCACCAAATGTCGGACCATAACTTCTACGGTTGTATGTAGCATACTGATTATTCCTTATGTCTTTTTTAAAGTATCTATATCCATAGTAGTTTTTGAGAGAAAATATGAAGGCTTTTGATGAGTAGAAGTAGTTGTTTAGACTTTCTGAAACAAATTTAAAGCACAAGGGACAGATAAGAAATGTATTGTCAATAGGTATTCGAATGAAAATATTGGGTAGAAGGCCATGCCAAGCCTTTATTTTCATACAGGCTCGGTTATACTAAGAACATTCTCGTCTAATTATTATGCGAAGATTGGGCCCCTATCCCTATGAGCTTTTCGACAGATTAGGTTGCCTTCATATAATTACAGCACTTTTGTCCATTTTCCATGTATTATTACTGCCTGGTAGTCTAAATCAGTTGTCAATATTATTGAATGATAGTTTAACCCGACGGAGCGAGTATTTGTAGCTTGATGTCATTTTCAAAATCAAATTGAAACAATCTTGTATATTTGAGAAGAATTTATTGCTGATTGTCTGTCAGTCAAATACGGTGGCAGGTAACTAACTTACCTTTCCATGAGTTGTCCGTGTAACCACCAAATATGTAACCATGAGCACTAATGATCGTCACTGTGGGTCCACGGCCATCGCAATAGCTGTGAAATGTTCATAATCTACATCCATGTCTTGAGGCTCTATAACACAGACTCCAATAACTTTTAGACGGAATCTGCAAGCGGGAATGTAGCCAGGAATTTAACTGGGAGACCTGTTTTGAGTCTCCGCCTATAATTCTAGAGTCAGTGAGTCCTCCTATTAGATAAAAAGGCGAGCGAAAATAAGAGTGATGTAGAAAGTTTCCTGTTACAGCATCACTTCCAAAGAAGATATCTATGCTTTATCTCAAGACGTTTGTAGGAAAAGCGAGAAAGCGGGAAGAGCGGGTGAAGAAAAAAAAAACTGACAAATAAACAAACAAAATGAAACAAAACATTGCGTAACACTCGCGGATTTCGCTCACCAACATACTTGCTTTGAATATGGCCGGTGAAAATCAGCCTAAAGACAGATAGAGTTAGGAGATATTAATAACAGCGATATGTGATTTAAGGGTTGATACGAGCAACAAAGAATTAAAACTTTTATTTCTCAAAAGGAAGTACAGTAAACCTTTTATTGATTTTCTGACTCTCAATTTCTTTTTACTATAAAGTTCGATAGTTATCGCTCTTTTACCAAGCCCCAAAAAAAACTTATCGGAAAACTATAATTATTTGGCATATGTATTATTAAGAAGTGGATCATTACATGATGCAATTCAAGAGTTTTTATCCCCCCCCTCCTTCCCTCCTTGTACCACAGTGAGGGTATGAGTTTGCATGTACGCCCAAGGGTTAAGTTATTAGATGTTCAAGCACTTACTGAAAGTACACTGACACGTTGTCCCGTCTCCAGCGTAATGAGCCGCATGGTTACACTGGCACGTGAATGATCCTGGAGTATTGGTGCATTGCGCGTTGGCATCACAGTTGTGGCCATGTAGTGAACATTCATCGACATCTATGAAGGAGTAAAATGTAAATCCGGAGGTTTGAACGGGTCAATGAAAACCTTCCCTTTAGCCTTCTTTACAGAATTTTTTCTACAGTCAGCAAAAGGGCTTCATCGTCGGAGCGACGACGAAGGGCTAACGCTCGAAACGTCAGCTTTTTTAATCGTTA